AGAGTGTTGCGAAGAATGGAGGTCAACATCCGGAATACTTTTCCACTCCCCTACTCAGATCGTTTGGGATTGTTTCTTTTCCAGTTTTTTGCATACACATTCAAACACACGCCAAAGAGAACTAACATGGCAGACACTATATCGCCTGTCTCACAAATAAATCTTCGAAATTTTATTCTGCGTCCGCAGTAAGCGCTGCTTTGAACATCTTCACCTGTCCTTTTGCCATTCTCCTGATTATTCTGGTAAAAATTTGCCGTGAAAGCAAAGCGAGGGGTCTGCACAAAATCTAACAACTCGCTGGCTTGCCTGGCCACGACAGATTTAACAATAGGACTGATTGTTCAACCTTTGACAGTGACCAGTTTCAGCTTGATGCACATAGGTAGCAGGATTCAAACCGTGACCTGCACTCTTATCAACAGCAATCGAACGATTATCGATTGCAAAAATACACGTTGAAAGATGAATTGATCATGAAAGGGTTTCCAACAGGAAAGAAAAATGAAATTACCATCGAGTTTTCAGTTTCATGAGTAGCTCTAAAAAGCCCCTTCCTAACTGCGTCAATTTTTTTGGGAAGCATTTCCCATGCACTTTCTTTAAAATACACTAAATAAAGCAAATTTCCCTTGGATTGTTACGAAGAGCAAAGCCAAAATTTAAGTACTTTTCCACTCAACTCCTCAACCTTCCGCCCATACATTAAAAAAGACAATACACTTGTACTAAAGTGAAAATAAAAAAACAATAGCAAATTGTTTCGTTGTAGTCATGCGCCATAAAACACAGTTCAGTAAGAGAAAAAGAAAGGATTTGCTCTGCTCAACACGCGGTCATAAAGGATCAATATGCCAAACGCCACATCACCTTTTAGTGGTTTCCAATTTCTTTCAAAAAATCACACAAATATCACTTCTGACGTTTATTCTGTGTTAGCAATAACCACTGCTTTGAATACCTTTACTTTTCCTTTCGCAATTTTACTGAATAGTCTGGTAATAGTTGCTGTTAAAACAAAGCGACATCTTCGTACAAAATCCAACATCTCGCTGGCTTGCTTGGCCACAACAGATTTTGCTG